TAACCAAGATGTCAGATAAGCAACATATATCGGGGGACCAATTCCCACCACGCTAGGGGTTGTGACTTCCTTGCTACGCGTATGGGTCCTGTGCTTTCAGTAGTACGGGCCCATACTACCTTCCGCACCTACCCATATTTGTCTCAAGTATCACCACAATGCCCTAATACTATCATCAACATAATATGCGCTCAACCCTCACTCCTAGGGGAATATCGACTATCTCGCCACTGGTCTCACAGCTTCCACAACTCACACATCCATGAAACTTTCACCAACCCTGCAGCACTAGTGTATGCTAGCCACACATAACGCTGGACCCGATAGACTTTCGAATATCCAATCCTACACTGAGGTCGAATCAGACATTCTCAGGCTATAAGATCTTGGTTATACACAGCCGTGATGTATACACTAAACACCTACAGTTATGATGTCAATTCTATATACAAGAAACCCTAGGCTAGTAGGCATCATATAATCAGGCAAGTCTATCATGCAAATTCCTGAAGATTCCTAGCCTAACACTAGCATGCTGTTCTATCATATCATAATATCAAATAACTGTATGGTATTTTGGGGTTTACTTACAGGCTCCGGCTGATCGTACCCTCTGCATCCTCCATCCTTTATTTTGAAAACCATTTTAGAATTTATTCCGAAAATTCCCTTGATTTGAGACTGGGTTCACACGAGTGTTTCCCCCAATTCACTCAAACCAAGGCTCTAATACCAACTTGTAACATCCAAAAATTTTACGCCAAATTTAAACTTTTCAATCATAAATAAACCAGATAGTATTTGTTTACAAAATGTTTTCAATCATTATTCATCAGAGTGTCCCAATAACCAGATCATAAGGATGAGGAGCGGTACGGTCACGCCTTCGCCTTGCCATGATCTCCTGAAGTACCTGAAACAATAAACTGAAAATTGTAAGCCCGAGGGCTTAGTGAGCTACCCCCAAAATACCAATACCACACCAATAATACCATATCAGTAACAGACAATCAACAACATGCATACTGGGTCATCGGCCTGACTGGACCGCCCTGCAGGGCCTACAGTCTATCTGAATCTGTCCCGAGCCTTCGGCATAACTGGACCGCCACGTGGGCCTATAGTCTCCCGGACCGCTCATAGGGTATATTGGCCTTCAGCACAAAGCAGGACCGCCTCAACCCAAGCAACAAGCAAATAACCATGTGCGCATAACTAACATATGCTGGCATATACAAGCATCAACATATCTATCTCACTAATCACCAATCATAGCAATCTCTCGTAACTAGACCGACCTAGCAGGTCACTAACATATCAATCCCTACGGATCATAAGAGCATAACATACTATCTATCATGATTCCGATCTAACGGGTCATAACCATATGTAGCATACCATAACAATAACAACTAAAGGGTCGGCCTTGGTGCCTTAGACCCTATTGATATAGTGAGGATAACTCACCTTGTAGATGTCGACTCGGTGGACAAACTTCAACCCTCGGATCACTGCCACAAACTCCACCACCTATTACCATAGTATAACCATACTGTAAGTTCTCAACCTCTCAAGGTACCCCATCAGTCAACTAGTCAACCTTTGGTCAAAGTCAAAGTCATCAGTCAAGGTCAACAGTCCATGTTGACCCTAACTCGCCGAGTACCCTCAGCTACTCACCGAGTTCCATGAAATACCTGACCACTCGCTGAGTCACCGGAGTGAATCGTCGAGTTCTAAGGCTCGCGATTGGAACTCTAAGGCCACTCGTCGAGTTTTCCTTCTTGCGACTCGACGGTTGCACACGCATACATAAATTGGGGAAACCTCAACCGACTCGCCGAGTTGTTCATCCACTCGTCGAGTCTACGACAATCTTCATCGGACTCGCCGAGTTGTTCATCCAACTCGTCGAGTTCAATGCCTATCTTCATATGATTCGCCAAGTCGACTATGCGACTCGCCGAGTCTCTTAAGCCCTTTAACCATGCAGACACTTTCTAAGCCATGTCCAGGCCCCAAATTGCAGATCCAACTTCCTTAGGCATGCTTATCACGTAAAGTTGCAAACTTTACGTGCATGCAAGGCTTTAAGACCCTAAAATGGCACAACTAAGCTTGCAATGAAGTCACATCCTTGAGATAAGGCTCATACTAGACAAGCCTGATGGCTTTATAAATCTAGAAGTCGAGGGGAGTCCAGATCTGAAGTTACAACTTCAGATCTTAGCTTAGACACAAGAATCCTTTCCTAAACTTGTGCTCAAAGGGGGTTTAGGAGAAAATGAGCCAAGGGAAAAACGATTTAATACCTTCAAGAGAGCCCTTTCTGATGCATAACTTGAAACCCACAAGCTCTTGCTTCAACTAGCTTGCTTCCCAAGAGATTCCTTCACCAAGAATCTTCCTCCAAGCTTAAATTTCCAAAGAATACACACACACTCGAGTTAGGGTTCTTCTGGACTCTCAATGGACTGTAAAGAGGCCAAAGGAGGCTTATGCTTCTTTAAATAGGGTGCAAAACCCCGGGATTTAGGGTTTCATCTGCCAGCTCCTACTCGTCGAGTCCCTTCTTGGACTCGGCGAGTAGGCCACTAAATACGCGAACCAACCCGCTGCTACTCGACGAGTAGGGCAACCAACTCGTCGAGTAGGCCTTGAAACCAATTAAATTCTTATTTAAACAATACTTGAGAATCGGGGCGTTACAGCTGTGGGCCCGGAAGGCAATCCAGACTCACACTGTGGGCCCAGGGGTAATCCAGTCTGGAAAGTTGTGGACCTAGTACATGTTGTTATTTGTATATGTGTTATTTGCAATGTATCAGTATTTTGGGGAACTCACTAAGCTTTGGGCTTACAGTTTCAGTTTTTGTTTCAGGTACATCAGATGATCGTGGGAAGGCAAATACGTGATTGTATAGCTCCTCATGTTTATGACTTGTTTCTGGGATACTCTGATATTATACTATTTTGAAAACAAGTTTTGTAATGATTAATGGTTTTGAAATGTTTTGAAAAAGTTTAAATTTGGCATGATTTTTATGGATGTTACAAGTATCTAATAAAGTTAAAAATAAAACAAGTTACCAAAAACTATTATTATCATTACCATATTAGAATAAACAGAACAAGTTGAAGTTAACTCACTTGATTAACAATGTGTCTAACAAAAAGATAACAGGTTCGATCCCAAATATACGTTAACCCTTTCATTAAAAAAATAGAATAAACAAAATTATCTTTTCTCAATCAAACACTTCAAATATTTATTAAAAGTGTCAAATCAATAAACTAATAAACATTTAAATAAATAATTTCAAACACTTCTTTAAACTTATCACTAATCATTTAAATTTTGTACGGTTCATGAATGAACTAGATAAAAATGTATTTCCAAATTGTCCGGGTGGTTAGTAAACAATTATCATTTTTGTCCAAAAAGTTTTTGATCGACAATAATGGTCTAAAATGTGTTTTTTTATTGTGGTTTTGGTTCCTAAAAGATTTGAAACAAGTTAAAAGCACTCATTTGCCATTAGTATTTTCTTTTTCTATTTTTTGTATTTCAATAATTAAGAAAAAAACAAAAAGAATCAAGACAACGAGACTAGTTTTCAGGTCATTGTTCGAGAAAGCAAGACAACATTTTCAAGGAATCAAGGTAACAAGACTAGTTTTCAGATCATGGTTCGACAAATCAAGGCAACATGTTCGAGGAATCAACGAAATGTGGCTAGTTTTTAGGTCGTCGTTCGAGAAAACAATGCAACATGCTCGAGGAATCAAGCTGACGAAGCTAGTTTTCAGGTCGTTGTTCGAAGAAATCAAGGAAACATGTTCGACGAAACAAGGCAACAGGGCTAGTTTTCAGGTTGTCTTTCAAGAAATCAAGACAATGTGTTGGGGTGTTGGCATCTTTGATGGGTCATGGGGCTTAGCTTGGCTTGCTTTGTTGCTCGACCCAACCTCGAGAGCCTTGGTTGCCTACATCCCATGTCGGGCACCGATGCGATTGAGTCCCCATGGTACCCTTATATATAAATATTGCACAAAGAGCTGGAACAATGATTGATTTCCTTGGGGATGCATAATTTTGGAACGTGCACGACGTAGGGGCTAATATTGGTCGTGATCCGGGAATACGAAAATCGAAGGGGAACCAGAAATCTTGATCCATGGTCCCCCGACTTGAAGTTGAAGCAGACGTCCAGAGGTACCTTTCTTGATGGAATGAAAGAAATGCCGACCTATATTTCCTGGTCATGAAGTGATCTCGAAGTCCTCATATAGCACTTCTTCCAATCTTGGATGGGGGATCACTAGCTCCCGAAGAAGATGAAGCTACTGAGATAGAAATTAGGAGCTGCTTTTCCGGCCGATAGAGCCCGGGAAGCTCTAAAGGTAAGTGAAAGTCGAAAACATAGCGGGGGTTCTGAAGCTTAGGAGAGGAGACTGTTTCGTTGTCGTTAGATTGGCATGTTATGGACGCCGTACCTTGGTTGTGATGTGAGAAAACACGGGGACGGGAGGGTATATTGTGGGTGGATATTTTTTTATTTTTTATTAAAAAATTACTAAAATAAATAAAATTGAAAAAAATAATAATAATAAAAACAAATTAGTGTTTTCTACTCAATTTACATATGTCAGGACCAAAACTATAATGTAAATTTTATTTTGGATTATTAGCTGTAGAAAGTAATAATTAGTAGCTAAGTGGCTATTTTACAATTTTGTCAAAATTTTGTCTTAAATTTATAACCAATAGATTTTGATAGGCTTTTTCAAAATTTGATCTTATCATACAATCTTTGTCTCATAGATCTCAATTCTAGCGAGCTTTGTTAAAACGATCTTTATCGAATTTGATTTTAATAGAACCAAAATGAAACTAGATAAATCATAAAATGAAATGACACGTAGCAACATATGATTAGGTGGCAAAATTCCGCCAAGATTAAGACAATTTTAGTGACACGTGTGACTTCAAAAGTGACATGCAAAAACCGTCATCTTCTCCGACCTCTCCGACCTCTTGTGTATGGATTTCGACCCACGCCGCGATAAAACCACCTTCCCTTCGCAAAAAAATTACTTACACTCAACAAACCACTCTCTTTTCTAAATCGAAAAAAATGGCAAATATACGTGATCAAGACGGCAACCCGATTCAACTAACAGACGAGCTCGGCCGCCCAGTTCAACTCACCGACGAGTTCGGCCGCCCCATGCACCTCACTGGTGTCGCTACCACCGAAGATTCAGGCCTTCATGCCGGCACAACAATCGGTTCTGATCTTAAGACGCATGATGGTACCCACGTTGCTCCAACGATCCCCGAGGCAGTGCCTGGTGGTGTCGGAGCTGGAACGGCAGTTCCTTGTGGTGGTGAAGGTGAAAGGCGGGAGATTGGACGCTCAGGAAGCTCAAGCTCCAGCTCGGTAAGTTCAATATATGATTTTTGTTAAAATTTTAGTAGAATCACCCGGGGAATTGATGGTTTGTGGGTGTGTGTTTAATGGTTGCAGTCGGAGGACGACGGGCAAGGAGGGAGGAGGAAGAAGAAGAAGGGGCTGATGCAGAAGATAAAGGAAAAGCTTCCAGGACATAAGAACAAGGAGGAGAAAGCTCCGGAGAAGGTGTACACAGCTACTACGAAAATAAGTGTGACGACGCCGGCAGGGCCGCTGAATGAGCCAAAAACGGAGTTCGTAAGGGTGGAGCACCATGAGGAGGAGCACGAGAAGAAGGGTTTGATGGATAAGATTAAGGATAAACTCCCCGGCCACCACTCTCACTAGATTCCGATCGACCTTGTCGCCGCTGTAGTTGGGGTGTGGGTTTTGTTGAGATGATGTGTTCAGCTTTTTAGCTTTTTAGTTTTTTCTTTTTGTATATTATTGCTTTATGAATAACATAAGGGTGCCTTCATGGAAATGAATTTATATAAATACCAAGGGTTGTAGTTTGGAGTTTGGACCAAGTGGTAACAGATTTCGAGTAATTTTGAAATTTACTTGTTGTAGTTTTAAGTCTATTCGCGAAATGGATGGATAGAATCATAGAATTAGATGAACTTGTTATTATAGAGGTCATCCAAACGATGTTGAAATGAAATGTGTAGCTTTTTAGGTTTTCTCATTAAAATTGTGAGATTGCTGTTGTAATAGGTGCCAAAATTTGGTCATTGATTAGAGTGTGACAAGATTTGTAAATGACAGACATTCATAATGTGTCCATCTCTCTTTTACCTTTCTCAATTTTATAAAAAAATGAAATCAACTCAAAATGACACTTAAGGGGGAAAATTGCTTTCTAAAAAACATGTGAAAAAGTATTTTGTAGTTGAATTGAAAAATCAAAGATATTTATAGTTGTAGGGAAGGACTTGGTTAGACCATTGGTGTGGGCACGTTTTGGGTCGTTATTGCCACGTGTCTTCACTTTAACCCCATGAACACGGAGGCACTCCTTGTCGTTATGTGATGCTCTATGGTGGTGGTAATGAGATGCTCGTTATGTGATGCTCATGGTGGTGGTAATGAGATGCTCGTTATTGCCACGTGTCTTCACTTTAACCCCGTGAATACGGGGCACTCCTTGTCGTGATGTGACGCTTCATGGTGGTGGTAATGAGATGCAGTAGGCATTTTCTCTCCAATTCCTATAACCCTTCTTCTGTTTTTCTTCTTTAATGCATTTTCTCTCCAATTCCTATAACCCTTCTTCTGTTTTTCTTCTTTAATTTGCCTCAACGACGTTGTGAGCTTGAAACATTACCCCTGAAAAATGTGGTGGAAAGATGAAGAGGGTTTATGCTTATGTGGCCTTTCAACAATATTTGTTTTCTTGACCATACCGTGCAATCTTATAGCCTTAATGACATCCTTATCTCAAAAATGGTATGTAAAAATTGTTTTCTCAAAAAATGTCATCTACAAAGGGATTTTTCGAATCTCATCTACGATTTCAAATATGACATGTACGATTCCACATATGACATTTGCAATATCGCATATGAGATCTAGGAAATGTTGTATTCTTTTTGTTATTTGTATTTAGAAATCTAACATTAATTCTTTTTGTTATGCGCTCTCGTTGGCTAAAGAAGGGGTGGTGAGTGACTACTGGAATGGTGAAGATTGGGTCTTGCAATGGCGCAGGGACGTGAGGGGAGGAATTGAGGCGGAACAACTACAAATGTTGATGGAATAGTTACAGGATGTAAAATGTTCGAATAACAAGCATGTTTGGAGATGGGAGTTAGGTAACTTGGATTATTTTACTGTTGGATCGCTTCGTAATCATTTAGATGATGTTTTACTTCCTATGGGTCATGTGTTGTATAGATGGAATAGGTTTGTGCCAATTAAAGTGAATGTTTTAGTTTGGAGGATTGCTTTGGATAGGTTATCTACTCGTGTTAATTTGGAGATTAGAGGGGTTGATACTCCCTCTACTAGATGTCCTATGTGTGATAAGGACTTGGAGTACTCAAATCATGTGTTTTTTAAATGTGAGTTAGCGAAAGAAATATGGAGTCGAATTGCAGGATGGGTGGATTTACATATGCCTTTGTTTGGTTCGCTACAAGAGGTTTATGATTGGTTGGATGCTTTATCGATGCAAGAGATGCAGAAAAAGAAGATTTTTGCAATTGTTATGATTACGTTATGGGTCTTATGGGGTTATAGAAATGCGATGGTCTTTCGCACTAAAAAATATCGAAAAGATACTCTTATTGATACCGTTAAATTGTTTTCATTTAATTGGTATTGTGTTAGAAACCGTAAAATGTCTAGGGATTGGAATGTTTGGCTTCAATTCCCTATGAACTTGTAATTGGTTTTTGCTAGCTCCTTGCTAACCTTTTGTTTGTTCTTCCTTTATAATAAATGCCGTTTAAAAAAAAGTATTTATCATTTTTATAAGATCTATTTTGAAACATAAAAAGTTCAACACAATTTTGTATGTATGATATAATTTATCTAAGAGAAAAGTATGATGTCAAATTTTTCATATGAATAGTTACTTTTTTTTTTGGAGTTGTTAACAAAGAGCTAGAGATAACTCCAATTATACTTTGTATATTAAAGAGGGACGTTTCTTACGAATAGTGAACTTGGTGTTTTTTTGGCACTTTTGGTCCTTTGTTTATGTTGGTTTGTTATTTTCTGGATTTTTTACTGATATTTTTGTTTTGGGCAATTTATGTCATTGTATCTAATCTTTGTGAACACCTTTTTGTATACGTGTCGGCTTCTTTTTATTCACCGTTTATACGTGTTTGTTTCTTTTTTATCACCGTTTTATTCTCCAATGACATTCATCCAGATACATTTCTTTCCGACTTCACTTTTAGGCACTTCGTTTCTTCTACATCGAACTCATACCCCTTATCGCTTCTCTCTCGCATGTTCCATCGCTTCCCACCACCCATGTAGATCGATTTCACTATTTCTCTCTGTCTTCTCTATTTGTTCCATATTCAAGCCCTAAATCGATTGTGACTTTCAATTGTAGAAAAAAAAAAGAGAAGGAATGCAGAGAGAGAGAGAGAGAGAGAGAGAGAGAGAGAGAGAGAGAGAGAGAGAGAGAGAGAGAGAGAGAGAGAGAGAGAGAGAGAGAGACCCAACACGACCCGCTTCACCGCCACACACTACCGCCGTGGTTGAAGCCCGAACCTTGCTTCATTACAATAAAATAGAAGTTAAGGCAAGGCTCTGAAGCCAATATCTCCAACCAAATTTAGTTTTACTATAACCTATTGGAAATCCAAAAAACATCATATTTATCACATCATCAAAACGAAAAGATTTCCTAAGGAGGACCATTCCAAAAAGAAAAGAATTACGAAAACTTCATTAACACCAAAAAGTAGTCAAAACCACCGCATTAAAAGTCTTCTGTTGGCTTTCCTTCTAAAAACTGCATGAAAATCTGGTCAAATAGACGAACATCCCCACCAAATAGCGATAGAGTTCCATGTATTTACATTTTTCAATGAAAAAATATTTCATATAATTAATATATTTTATATTTAATTATAATAATATTCTAAATAACTAATACCTTTATGTGTATTCAGGCAAAAATGTCAAATTAAAGTTATGAAAATATAATTTTAAATAGTAAATCAAGGTCTCCTGATCTCCTCACATGGCATATAATCCAACGGTCCACAACACTTCTGTCGACCGATTTCCATCTTCACTCTCCTCTGCTACTCCGCCTTCTTCCATGTGAGAGAGCTCTCCAAGCTTCACTTTCCCGCCACAAAAATGCTCTCTCAATCTCACTTTCTCTCTCTAGATCCTCGCTCTCGTGCTTTCCTCCATACGAATTATAGGACCTGCTGCTCATCATCATTGTCTTCATCGCCATCGTCAACCCTAGCCTTGACAAAATCTCGCCGAATCCTCTCGATGACTACAACGCGGTCGACACTCTCGGACGGAGTTGGTGCGGTTACGAGCGTCGAACATATCGGTTCTGAACTTGATCGTTTTGCCAACGTCGCAAACAAGTTAGCCGACGCCGCCGGCGATGTCATTCGCAAGTATTTTCGCAAGAAATTTGATATCGTCGACAAAGAAGATTTGAGTAAATTTCTGCTTCTACATTATATTTCAAAATTATTTTACATTATGCTTTTTTTAGCTTCTTTTTATTTACCTGCATTCTTCAATTCACTACCAATATTACGGAAAAAAAAATCGAAGAATATGGATCAATTTTAGAGCCGAAAATTAGTGATTTGGACCTTAAAAGTTAACTCTAGATCGATGAACGTATTGCTTTTACGTAATTTCTTATTATGTCTTCTACTGTTTGTTTTGATTCTTCTAAGGTCCGGTGACAATAGTTGATAGAGCTGCAGAAGAAGCAATGATCTCGATAATACGAGAGAGTTTGCCTTCTCATGCAATGTAAGTTACCTGATTTGAGATCGCTATTGTGCTTTTTTCCTCACTAATAGATGAACATTGAAAAAAGCATTCTTACAGTTTATCAGTGATTTCCATATCATTGAGATGTCTGTTCATATATTTAAAGGAACTACTCACACAATTGCAGTTACGGCGAGGAGAATGGTTGGCAATGTACAGAGAAATCTGCAGATTATGTGTGGGTTTTGGATCCGATAGATGGGACAAAGAGCTTCATTACAGGTATACCTTTCTGCTAGATTGTATATGAAACTCTTATTATTAGGACAAATTTAAAGCTTCTACTTTTGATGTGCTCAGGTAAACCATTGTTTGGCACCCTCATTGCTTTACTTCACAGAGGTAAACCGGTATGAATCAGTATCATCCCTCAGATTGCATGTTCAGAATTTACTGGTGTTTTTTTATTGATATTTTCTTGTTTGATATTAGATTCTTGGAGTAATTGATCAGCCTATTTTAAGAGAAAGATGGGTTGGTATAACTGGAAGAACTACTAGACTGAATGGAGAAGAAATATCCACTCGCAATTGTCCAAAGCTTTCACAAGCTTATTTGTATGAATCATGATTCCCTGTTTCTTTTTATTTAAAGTTTTGAACAATGAAATTGTTTCATTATATGCATAAAATTTAACATCCTGTTCGATTATTTGTAATAAACTACTTAGGTACACAACTAGTCCACATCTGTTTAGCGGAGATGCAGCAGTGGCTTTTGCTAGAGTGAGAGATAAGGTTTTCATTGAACCTTTTTTTTACTAAAAGACCTGAATACCCCTGCAGTGTTTGATAGCTAGTTGTAATGACACTTGAGATTTAATATTTATAGGTGAAAGTTCCCTTATATGGATGTGATTGTTATGCATATGCTCTTTTGGCTTCTGGACACGTGGATCTTGTAGTAGAGTCTGGTCTCAAGGTGAGTTTTTGCTTCTTTATATATTATTCCATCATTTGGATAAATAATGTTTACAAATAAACAAGGGCAATTTAATCCAGTATATGTCAAGCACAGTGATGTCATTGTTTTTGTATGTTTAAATTGCAGCCATATGATTTCCTTTCCCTGATACCGGTGATAGAAGGGGCTGGTGGGGTTATAACTGATTGGAAAGGGAATGAGCTTAGCTGGGAGGCTTCTTCCACTTCACAACCAACAAGTAATATGTTTTTTTTTTTTTTTTTTTTTTTTTATTGTAACCTTAAACTTATCAAATATGGATGTTTTTGGGTTGTTTGGTTTCATAGTTGTGGTGTATGTGTTGGCAGGTTTTAATGTAGTGGCTGCTGGGAACAAACAATTGCACAAACAAGCTGTGGATTGTTTAGAGTGGCAGTAGATGACTGTTTTGATGTTTGTATTTAACAGTTTGTGTTTTGGTATGAAATTTGTATTGCTCCTTTTTCCATAATAATAACTGCAAGAATTGGAATTGTTTCCTTCTTAAACAAACTTTTATTTAATGTAGTTAGTAGTTACCTAGTTTTTTTTATACTTTTTTTTCATCTAAATGAAACAATATCGACTTATATTTCCTCTTAGGCTATATAAATAAAATCTAGGGATAATGACCTTATACCATCTTACACGTTTTTCCAATGATCTTATAATTTTGTTCAAAAAATGCCACTTAACTTTTTTTTTTTGGGGATAATTTACCTTTTAGTCACATTTGGTCACTAAACTTTTTTTCGTGACTAATGAAACCAGTAAATGTTACCCTTATGACTGTTTTTAGCAGGTTTCATATCTTTTTAACTTAAATATGTATAAATGAAGTATTAGGTGGAAATGACATGGTATGCCCCCTCATTAAAACTGAAGTCTAAGTCGCATTTGTCACTAAACTCAATTAGGGCATGAATTCTTCTTGTCCTTCAATCGCTTTGAAGAATGGCATCATCGCCTCCCAGTGATCGGAACTTCATTGTAGTGGATTTCCACTACAATGGGACGTTTGCACCAAATCCATTAGTCTATTTTGATCCCGACAGAGCATCCATTCGAGACGTTGACTTTAGTGGGTATCAATTTGAAGAGTTCATGGATTTCCTTTAGAAGCTCACAAGATCAAAAACAAAGATGTATACTTTTACCTTCCAAAAGAATCGTAAAGTGAGGGCATTCATACATTGGTCAATGATGGCGACTACAAAGAACTTTTGGATATGGCGTATGCTAATGACAAGAGAATGAATGTGTATGTGGACCACCAGAATGAACCTATCTTCTAGTGGATTGAGGATGAGGTAAGTGAAGATGAAGATGACAACTGCCAAGAAGATGAAGATTCAGTCTTGTCAGATGCATATTATGTTGACCATGAAGAAGATGATGCTTTTTATCCATTTCCAGCCAACAAAACTGTAAATGACAGGTTTTTAAACAATCTTTGTCAAGATACAGTGAATGGAGATGAAGATGATGAATATGTGCTACCCCAATACCCTATGCATGATGAGAGACAACCATGAGATCACATAAACCCAATGGTAGGTATACGATTTTCTAACCCTACAGAGCTTAAAGATATGTTAAGCAACTATGCAGTTGCTAATGGGTATGATCTTTGGTTTGAAAAAAATGACTCACAAAGACTGTTAGTTAAGTGCTGCAAAAAGAACAAGGCACCATACTACATGGTCTAAGGCATTCTTTCAAGAGGGAAGAGATTGTGATGCAGTTGAGAATGGGGCTAGTGAAACTTTCAACTCTACTATTAGGCATGCTAGAAGGAAACCTCTCATCATCACTATGCTAGAAGAGATTAGGATATTTGTGATGGAAATGCTATACAGTCAAAGAGTTGATGAAATGACATGGGATTTGAATATATGTCCAACTATTAGGAAGATAATAGAAGACTTAAAGGTGTCACAGAGGTAATTTTTCATGTTTAATATGCATATGGTATTTGTCCTACTTAATGATTGGAATATGTTAGTAATTTGTAGTTTTTCTTGCATTATACAGATTCTGGGGAGTTACTCCTTGTGGTTATCAAAAGTATGAAGTTAGATTCAATGATTCTGCATATGGGGTGGATCTTATTGCAAAGAAGTATGCTTGCAGAATATGACAACTTACAGAGATACCATGCTTACATCGAGTGGCTGCAATCTCTTACCTAAATCAAGATGTTGAAACATATGTATCCAAATCATATAATAAAGAGGCTTACCTCAAATGCTACAATTATAGCATTAACCCTCTGGTAGTAATATGAGGCCAGATGTTCCTTATCGTAAGCCTTTGCCTCCCAAAAGAAGAAGATTACCTGGTAGGCCATCAGTGAAAAGGAAGATAGATGCAGTGGAAAGAGAAATGAGTAACCCAATTAGACATTTTGTTACAAGAAGGGGAACCCTGATAAGATGTGGTATTTGCATGGAACCAGGCTACAACAAGAAAAAGTGTCCATCTAAGCAGCAAACCAATGCATCAGGTAAATTTTTATAAGATGATACATCATTTTCACAAGGAATTGACACTTATTATTATTATTATTATTATTATTATTATTATTATTATTATTATTATTATTTTTGCAGTACCAACATCAACAAGGGGGAGTGGTGCAGGCCCAAGTTCATCTATCGACGGGAGACCACCTCCACAAGCAGCACCTGCAGCCCAGCCACCTCCACCACCACCACCTCACCACAAGTTGTAATTCTTATGCTAAGAAGGCCTCCGGTTGGTAGAAGTGGATGAAGGTAACAGTCTGAAAGGATCACCAAACTTGTATTGAGGAGGAAGATGCATGGGGTTGGGAGCAGTGCAGACCCTTTAATGATTGATTAAGTTGGTGGGTAAGTAGTATGTGGGTGGGAATCTTTTATGCTTTAGTTGTTATGTAAAGACATACTAGTAGTTTTATGCTTTTGTATTGGTCTGTCAAGTGGGTGTGTGGGCACATGGTGTCCTTTCTTTTGAGTATGGACGAATCTTTTGTATTACCTAGACAAGTACTTGTTGATTTGGAATATTAAATGAACCCAACCACCACTTTAAATTAGTTCCAATCTTTGTTACTTGTAATGTATTGTTGTTTCCATGTCATTCAAACAAGATTCACTGATTCCATTCCATTCTTTCACTCTATATTACATTTCATTCCATTCCAACAAGTTAAGATACATCATTTCATCATGATCAAAATAAGAAATCTTACACTAAACTTATACAATTTTTCCTTTACTGTCGTAGCATCAACCTACTTTTCATTCTTCATTTGTTCCATGTCTTCCTTCACCTTCTCTAATTTTGTCTTCAGTGCCAACAAATTAACAACATTTATCTTCATTTCTTCCAGGTTTTCGTTCATCTCCTCCATTTTCCTCTTCAATGCTACAAATTCAACTTTCATTTCGTCCACCACATCCCTTAGAGTCACCTATACGGGTTCTACATTCATCCACTTCCAAAATTTGCATTTATTCTTCAAAACAAATGAGGAATCAAATCAGGAATGACGAATCAAAAAAGAGGGAGGAATCAAATGAAACAATGTATCAAAACGGGAAAGCCTGAAACAAACATGGACTTACCTCATTGCACACCATGAAATGTCTTCCTGGGTTCTTTGGTGTTGTTGAGGTTAGAATACGTGCAGGGAACCCACAATCACAAGCTTTTTGGTTATTCACATTTGATTTCATGCTTGATCGATGGAAGGATGAGGAAATACTGGAGGAGGAAGTCATCGACGATTAGAGCACAAAAAGAACCACCTTCATCCCTCTTTTAATAACAACTGACCGACATACCACATTATTTGCCACATCAGATAAAACCGCCACCCAATACTTCATTTATACATACGTATTTAAGTTAAAAAGATATGAAACTGGCTAAAAACGGTCATAAGGGTAAACATTTGTCGGTTTCAACAAGTTGAAGGGTTAATAAGTCACAAAAAAAAAATTAATGACCAAATGTGACTAAAAGATAAAATACTTTAAGTTATTATCCCTTTTATTTTCTACATATTTTACTTGAAAGTTATTATCCCTTTTATTTTCTAGAAACCTCAAAGGGAGGTGTATATTCTTCTCTTTCCAAAAAAATGTATTCACAAAAAGTTTAACGGTAAGACTTTTTTGAACAAAATATAAAGATAATAAGGTAAGTTATGTTAAAAAAAATGTTTGTCCGTAAAGTATGTGCACAAAACTAAAGTTTGTTATCCTAAGGGTTGTTTGACATGCCTCTTATCAGGTCTAGTAAAAGACTGAGTCTCAAATTGTTTGATACAACACTTGGAAACCGTTGACTCTCTCCGGACTCTTGGACTCAATCAACAACTATCAAACAGTCGTAATTAAAAAAATTTAATAACTAATATATTTTGTTTGTGTTTTATAATTAATTTGTTTTGTTGGTTTATGTGATTGCACAATTATATAGTAGAATGATATAATTTGAAATTTGAAACAATGAACATTAGCAAATGATAAACAAGGAAGGAGGAGATAATTCCAAGTCTTGTTACAACCAAGATCAGATGAAGTAGTCAACCAGGTAGAAACAAACTCCAAAATAAGTTAGCGTTTGGAAACTAATCTTTCTAGTCTTTTCCAAAATCAGCATTGTAATGAGCACTTGATTCCAGCTTCTTGGCCTCATTCAGTTTCCTCACAGCCTGAAAACACATTTTCCAAACAAAACAACACTCAAAATCTTACAAAGTACAAACCTCCAAATTTGCTGGATGTAGCATTATTTCTTTTTAATTTAATACAAAAACAACTAATCTTCTACATTCCATTCCATTCAACCAAAAACATCCTTAATCATAAAAAATTTTAAAAAAAAGAAGTATAATTACCTTCATGAAATCTTCATGGATGACATAATCACGTTCTGCACGAATCGCACTCATACCAGCCTCCGTACACACATTCCTCAAATCCGCTCCATTAAACCCCTAAAACCCATAAATAAATAAAACTCGATTAAAATTAAAAAAAAAAAAAAAAAAAAAGAAGCATAAATAAAATCTGACAATCAAACTATATTTATTTTTACCTCAGCAAGCTTGACAACTGCCTCATAATCAATTTCACCATGTTTAGCAATCCCAGCAGCGTGGATTTTAAGAATTTCCATTCTTGACTGCTCATTGGGCAATGGAATCTCTATTTTTCTATCGAGTCGACCGGGTCGGAGAAGAGCCGGGTCCAACACATCTGGTCTGTTTGTCGCCATTATCATTTTAACCTACAAAAACAAAAAAAAAACATCCATTTATAAATCAAGAGAATAAGAAATTTTTATTTTTTTAAGAAATTACGAACAAAAAAAAATTGATTTAAACCTTTCCAAGTTGATCAAATCCATCGAGTTGATTTAACAACTCCATGAGTGTTCTTTGGATTTCACGATCCGCACTTGTTCCCTCGCTGAATCTACGTCCACCAATCGCATCAATTTCATCCATGAATATGATGCAAGGCTTCAATAATATATTTTTTTTAAATCGTTAATAATGTAATTAAGGAAATATTGTAGAATTATAAATGGGGATAATCACGAAAATAATCAGAAATGGGAAGGTGATATCACAAAATAAAACCACCTATTTCACAAAATATCTTTTATTTGTGTCCCCACAACATTTTCAAGAAAAAGAAATTTTATTTCATTTTTCGTGAAAAAAAAGGTGAAATTTTTTTATAAAATATTTCAAGAAAAAGAACAGTTATTTCGAGAAATTGATTTCTCAGTGACATTTTTCAAGAAAAAGAACAGTTATTTCACGAAAATGACATCATTTTAACAAAATAAAGAAAAAATAGTGACTTCTTTTTAAAGATTTTTTTAGTGGGAACCACTTATAAAGTAATTTCATAAATTTATTTTTCAGTGGTTCCCATTTCCTACTACATTTTTTAAGAAAAATATATTTATTTAGCAAAAAATGATGTTATTTACACGAAATAAATATAGATTTGTGAACTTTTTTTCAAAGATTTTTCTAGTGGAGACCACTGATAAAGCATTTTCGTGGGAAAAAAAAAAAGTTAAAGGGTGATTTGTGCTATTAATATTACCTTCCCATTTTTGTTTATTTTTGTGATTAGCCTGATTATAAATACCCAAATAATATTTAAGAATTAAGGGTTTAAGCAGTATTACTTGGTGATCACGAGCATAATTAAACATTTCCCTAATCAACCTTGCACTCTCACCAATATACTTATCAATAATCGCACTTGAAACAACCTGTAAACATTTTTCAACACACATATTAGAAAAAGGAATAAACTACAAAAAAGGTCCCTGTACTTTCTGATTTGTACCATGTTTAGACCAAAACTGAAACTTTTTTTTTCTTCAATTTTGGTCCTTATTTGAAGACTCTATATCAATTTTGATACTTGGGCCTTGAAATAAGGACCAAACCTGAAAAAGATTTCAATACCGGACTAACAAGATAAAAACCAGAAAAGACAGGTACCATTTTTGTAAATTACACAAAAAGAAAAAAAGAAATACCTTCAAGAAATTAGCATCTATATTGCTGGCAATTGCTCTTGCTAGTAATGTCTTGCCAGTACCAGGAGGTCCATACAGAAGAACACCCTAAACAGATTAAAGGGTATATTAGTAATTTTACATGATCATGACAATAAAATTATAAAAAAAAAAAAAATGTACCTTGGGGGGCTTGATTCCAACCCTTATGAAGAGTTCAGGGTTCATTAAAGGCAACTCTATGGATTCCCTAAGTTCACGAATTTGATCTGAAAGCCCACCAACTGCAGAGTAGCTGATGTTCCCAGGGTCTTCATGAAGCATGTTGTAAACAACCGGGTCAACCTTAAAAACATTGGTCAAAGTCAAAGTTAAACCATCAATTAATTAAGATATACAAAAAAGAAAGAGTTTTTTTTTTCTAAAAATCTACTAACTTCACGAGGGAGGGCCCGCATAATGGTCAAAGTAGTCATGTCAAGAACCACACGAGTTCCAGCAGTGAGTTTTTCTTTGTCTACTTTACTCCTGCACCCAACCACATACCTTGGGCCACTACTTGCTTTAACAATCACTGTGATAAATTTATAAAAAGATATATTAAAAAAAGAAAAAAGGAGAAAGGAGAGATTTTTTTAATGTTGGAATAATAAAGAAAGAAGTTAGTTACATCGTTCGTTGTCAAGAGGTCTTAAGACTTCGCCTATTATCTGTCCAACACTTTGAAGGGATTTCAAATCATCTTCTGTTTTTGCATAATCCTTCTTTGTACTTCGCAAACTCTCTCTCACTGCATATGAATTCATATAATTGTTATCATAAGCAAAAGAAAGAAAACTTTTACAAACGAAACACATAATTTACTCGTTAGTAGAAACACTATGGAAGTGGTTATGGCACATAGTCAAGAACATGATTTCCTTTGAAGTCTACAATTTTGAGAGGGCATAAAGTAGTAGCTTGAAGACAAATCATCTTTTAAGTGAAAAGTAGAATGTTATGCAAAGATGAGGGATCTCATAAACAAGCAATCCTTTCCGAACAAAAGCAAGGTTAAATTACAAATATTATATGGTTAACAGAATCAGAAACACAGCAGCAAAAGAATTAATAACTTGAAGTTAATATTCTTTTCTCGGATGTGTAATCCACTATGCCAATGGAGAAGCTGAATTAGCTATGTCCTAGATACAAATGCACAAAAAATTAAATACACTCATGAAAAGATCGTAACTTCTATGCATCAAAATTTCATAATTTCGCTGATTTTCTTCATCACATTTCCCCAGCTTGCCACAGCACACAAAAGGTTCAATAGTAAACAAGAACGAAAAGAAGAAATAGCAACGTTTACGCTAACTCAACTTCCACGAAAGGAAGAATTTATCGAAATGTCCAATTTTACATAAAAGTAACATAAAACCTCAGAAAGTAACAGCATGATAGATGTAAATTAGCATAATACAAAAAGTTCAAACCCTGGATAAGATAAACACACAAACAATTCATCGGACCATAACATATTCTCGGATTAAGTATTCCAAAGCAAATTGAAACAAATAAATCACGTAAACCTAAATCAACAGATGAAATTAGATTAATGTGGGAGACTCTAACCTCCTCGAACTCTAGAATCGAGCTCTTTATGTTGAAGCATCTTTTTCCGGTACTCAGTTACCGCACCACGGCGACGAACCACCGCATCTTCGCCCTCGCTCGTCATCGGAAATGCTAGGCCGGTGGAACTATGAATTGATCGATCTATTCGCTTGTCGTTCAAGGGAACTCTAGCATTAGCTGAAATTGAAAATGTCTTCCTTTAAAAGTTTTAACTGTGGTCCGATTCTAAGCCCAATTTTGGGTTTGTTAGTTCAAAATTTGGGCCACTTCAAATTGGGTCCAGTTAGTATATTTTGAGTGTATTGTGTATGTTATGGACAACCACTATTTCTAGATTACTAAAGAAAATGATTTTTTGTTTTTCGTTATAAGATGTTTTTAATAGATAACACATTAACAAAATTATCAGATCATTATTACTTATATAGTAATCTCATTTTTATAATTAAGAAACATGTTTAGAAATAGGGTGGTCATTGGTTGGTATTACAACAAACTTTCATCGTTTTTTTAGTAACCTTGTGACTTTAAACATTGTATCAACTCCATCTTTACTAATTACATCAGCGATAAGATTAAGAAATTAAATTTTGTGGGTATTGCAAGG